ATAATAAATTTAATGTTTATTTATGCACTGCTCATATAAATAAAATATTAATATATCATTATCGACATAATAAGCATTGACCTTATTTATAGAAACAAAATACAAATAAACATTAAGTCTGCCACAAGAAAAAGAATTAAATTACCAAAATCAACAAATTTAAGAATTTATTTATTTCAATAAAAATTTAAAATTTTAATAAAAAAATCTAAAGTAAATTTAGAGACTTAACATATAATTTTGCCTTTTAATTATGAGACATAACAAGTAAGTGTGATAAATTAAAAAAATTAAAATTATTATTTATTACACAATCTAAAATAATAAAAAAAGTAATTTTTTTAGTTTGATTAATGACAATTTAATTGCAGTCAAATAATAATAATGACAATTTAATTATTATCTTAAATGTAAATTTGCATTAAGGATGCTATGCATTTTATTAAAAAACCTTAATACATATATAATAAATTCAATTACAACATTTTATTAATATAAGACTCAAAATTAAGCTTTTACTTAATCGAGATTGAAAGTCTAATAAATAGACTACATGAAATTATTTCCAAAAATTGCCAAAAGAAACAATTATAATGGTACAACAATGTGTGTCTGGAATTTACCACACAAGAAAAAAAAAAAGAAAAAAGCAATGAGTGTGTGTACTCAAAATCAAATTTCAAAATTCTTTAAATTCATACAAGTGATATAGAGCTTGTTAAGGTCATAATTGAGAACTTGAATGGAATGTCCTTTTCTTTTTTATCAGCTTTCATGAGGTGTTTGAAATGTCTACATATTTTAATTTATCCTTAGATTGGATTTCAAATCACATTTCAAATTTATTGAATGACAACGGTGATACAAATTGCACTACTTTATAAACTTAGTCAAATTTATCTATGTCTAAATCTATCAGCTTCCCTTCCCAAGTCCCACCCAAGGCAGCGGCAGGTGAGTGTTTTTCCTTTAGAATAGTAACCTGGAATGCTGAAAGAAATCATAGTGCAGCTATAAGTGCGGAATCAAAATCAAATTCCAAATTTCTTTAGTTTATACGACCGATGCAGACCCTGATACGCTTGTCTCAATACGTACTACAAGTTGTTGAGAACTTTTAAGTGGGGGTAGTTGACATGTCTACATCTGTTAATTTTCTTCTTCCACCAAGCAACCACTCAAAAAAGCAACCCTCATAATTGAATTTGAAACAGATTGTCTTATTGCAATTGGGTGTGATTCTTATTGCTATTGGGTGTGATTATTGGCAATTTGTTACTTATCTTGTGACTAGTCAGCACCACGTTAAACGACATTCCATTGACCAGTAATTTTCTCTTTTAGTGTATCAACATCTCATAAACTTGTTACAAGGGCTTAACTTGCCCCTCCTTTTTTACGATGAAAAAGATCATGTTGCTTGCTGA